AGATCGTGTCAGCTGACTCGGGTTTACGTACCGGTAGGTTTACGTTCTTGACTAATTTCAGCTTAAGGATAATCGTAAAAATATTTTGAATATGAACTTATAACTTTTTGACCATCTACAAAACTGACGAAGTGGCAACCATCTAAAGATGGAGAAATCAGCTGACACGGAAAATTCTAAATTCCGCAGATTTCTGCGCTACGGGCTACAACTACAGAAAAAGTCTGCGGTGTTGAGTTTTCATTTACATGGCGCTTTGGTAAGACAGATCGTATCAGCTGACTCGGGTTTACGTACCGGTAGGTTTACGTTCTTGATTAATTTCAGCTTAACACTATCACTGGTGGAAACACCCGTTATTTTCCTGCAGTTTAGGTATCCATCCCCTGTGGGAAAGTAAAAAGGATTTATTATTATTTTAATTTTATGACCAGGTCATTATATATACATTTATTATATATTCCAACGTTGAATATGCCTACATTTTCAAAACGAAAAAAGGGTTTTTAGAAATAATTTTGTTTTTTATAATGTTTAAGTCGGCAACTCTAATGACACACACATTTGCATAACATTTCACATACTTACCAACACCGAAAACTGCTAGAATTTATTTTAGCATAATGGCGATTTCTTTTTGACAATTGGCCCCTACTGTTGGTGCACGTGTTTTTCTTGCGGACTGTTCATAAAAATCCATTAAAAAAGAGGTGAATGTGAAAAAATAATATTTATGCAAACGCATTGTTACGCTAATTTTTTGGTTTTAGATGAATCCGGAGAAATTAAAGAAGTTGCAGGCGCATGTTCGTATCGGTGGAAAGGGCACTCCACGTCGTAAGAAGAAGATTGTACATTCTACTCCTGCTACCGATGATAAAAAATTACAATCGTCTCTAAAGAAATTGTCTGTTAACACGATTCCTGGGATTGAAGAAGTTAATATAATCAAAAATGATGGTACCGTCATACACTTCAATAATCCTAAAGCACAGGCATCACTTCCAACAAACACGTTCGCTATTACGGGGCATGGGGAGAACAAGTCTATTTCAGAAATGTTGCCGGGAATTTTAACACAGCTGGGACCGCAGGACATCACGCAATTGAAAAAAATCGCTACAGAGTTTGCTAACAAAGGGGCTGCTGCATCAGGTGCCGCAGCTGGTGGTTTAGCGAGTGCATCTTCATCTGCAGTTGACGATGATGTTCCAGATTTAGTTCAGAACTTTGAGGAGGTGGCTATTGGAGGTGCATCAGCTAGTGCTAAAGGGGTAGATATTACTAGCACAGTTGAGTCTACACCGAAAACTGAGGAGGTTCCTGTGGCCTAAAACGGATTCTCACGATGGAAACTTAGATTTAGTGGTGCCGACATACGCAAGCAACATCTACAAATATACAAAGCGTGGGATATAAGTAAGGGAAGACGACGAATAGATTAAATATTCGTCAACTATATTGATTAGACGTGCGTCTCAATTTGGAGCTGAGTTATGAAAAGGGTTGCACTCGGTATAAATATAGTACACACAACATAACCAGAGAAAAACTACATATAATGTGAGCCAATTAAATAATGAATGAAACATTGTTTCGATCGTAAACACACACATTTTTGTTTTTTCACACTAAGGCAATAATACATAACCGCAGATGGCGAAAGTAGAATAAATGAATTTATCGAAAATAGGAACAGAATAATTCCACAAAAGAGTCACTTAAACACTCCAATCGAAGCATTACCAGTACAAGTAGGCGTCGAAGGCATGGATAGATATGCAAAAGCATAATATGCATAAAATATATTATTTTTATATTGAATACCCTTGGCATATTGAATGGTTACTAGATTGGGCAACGCATATTTGGACTGACCTCTTGGTTTTCTCGCTTAATATATTATTTCCTTTCCCCAATATATGCCTAGGTTTGAATCGATTTTATTTCGTCGGAGGCAACTTAAATCTGAAAAAGCAAATACCGTGTAAAATATTAACTTATTTTTACGCATAAAATGGCATGGAACGAATTCAAATTTTTTATCAATCTCATACCAAAACTACTGTTGATAATATTTAATTTTTAGAAACCCACTAAAGGAAAATGAATAAACAATACGAAACATGAGTTAAAAAGTTAGGTGGTTTTATTTTTTTCATAATTGGTAGCTGATCTTCCTCGATATTTGACAGAGAGCAAAGCCGCCTATATCTGTTCAAGGACTGTTTCCCGGAAAGAATTTATACTACGACAAAAACAACGTTTAAACCCGGTGCGCCTTCTAGTGGATAATATTGTGAAGCTACTCTTTACAGGATAGCCTGTTCATGTAATCCTTTAAACGCTAGTGTTATGTCCCGCTGGAATTTCATAGACTAATAGTGTTGTTATAAAAATTGTTATTACATAACAAAGATCCAAGAGTGTTACATATATGTTTCAGCTCGTACAGCCCTTTATAGGGGTCGAAACTTTTTGTTATGGGTTTTTGTACATATCCTCACTTTTAGTATCCTCCAAAATTTGGTTCCTCTAAATTTCCTCTATTGCTTTAGCGTTTAATGAGGTAATCTCAAGTAGCTTGATTTCCGAGAATTCACTCGAAGAAAAAAATAATAAATAATACCAACAAAAAAGTACGTAAGATCAAAGCCATTTATAATTTGCAGTTTATGAGCAGCTGATTAAATGTGGGTTTTCCGAAGAAATTTCCTAATGAAAAGAGTATTTCCTAATACATTACTTTATTAGTATAAATTGAACCTAGCTATATGCCATCAGCTGTTGCAAATTGAAATTTGTGCAGTATACATTTGCAACTTGCCTCCACTGCCGCTTTGCTTTCCCCAATTTCCCCTACTTTGGAATTTTTTGAATACTTGACACCAAAACCAAGAATTAATTTGTAACAATTGTTGCAAATCATTTGCTTCACGAACAGGCATAATAATATTTATGTACCATATTTTGGGGCCATAAGCTATAAATAGCATAGCGATCAACCGTATCGTTCTTTCGTTTGCTTGTATTTGTAGTCAAACACCCACAGTAAGTCTAACTGGTCCAGCACTTGCGCGGTATCACCTCAATCACTGCCAGTTTTTCAGTGCACGGTTAACCTTTAACTACTGTGATTAAAAAAAATCGCAACTACTAATAGTTGCGTTCCAGATGCTTCACGATATTCACGATTTGCAGGAACAGCTGTTTCTCTCCAATAAACCTTATGGGAGGTGGTCACTTGGAACGACTTCGGGCCTGTGCCAAATGATAGAAAAGAGAAAATTTTGACGGATCAAAGTAAAAATCTGACATTTCTCGTGGTGAATAAGAACGTCAGAATTTTACCTAGCTCATGGGGCTAGGTAAAATTTTGACAGCTTATAACCATGTATACACATAATATTGCTTGGCGGTAATAAGGAGTGAACATGAAAATGAAAGCTGAAACAGCATAAAAAAAAGCGTACGTTACTTGCAAATTATAAAATAAATATAAATTTTAAGAATTTCAGCAACACACAAAAATAAAGCTTTCGCACGAGCGTTTGTTTGGTTTTTCAACTGTCAAAATTTTACTTTGCATTTGGCACAGCAAAATTCAATTTATTGTACACCATAGCAAATTTTTCTACCCCGTCTCACCACGGAGAAAAAAGTTACCGATTGGCACAGGCCCTTCCTGTAAAAACCTGCAAATCGTGAAGCATCTGGAACGCAGCTAATGTTGGCCTGTGAGACCACACATATTATAGTGTTAAATAATAAATATATTAAATATATCGTTTGTACATCGTTTCACCAAAAAAACTGGTTTTAGTGAAATGATTACACTTTTGATTGATTGATTGGTTGATTTATTTAGTAATAATTTGATTACTTGTAATTACAGTGATACTATTTACCATAACATTATTTTGAGCTGTCTAAACTATTTTCTCACAAATTCTATACATTTTCTTTTAAATAAGTGTATATTTTTTTCTTTTTTGGTATCTTCATTTAACATATTAATGGCCTTATTCATAAAAAATAAAGTAGGTTTAAAAAGCTTTATAAAATGACGTTTTCATACATTTTTCAGTTTATAAACCTTTTTTAAAGCTACTTTATTTTTTACGAATAAGGCCATAAATCTTTTAAAACCTTTATAGAATACATTATTCCGTGATGACGCCTTGCCATGTTTCTGTAGTCTTAAGTCAGTTGCGTTTCTTAATGCATATGGCTGCACTCCTCCAACGTAGATGACCTTCTCCGATATGTAGTCCGGCATTTTAACACTAGTAGTCAGATATACAAACCGTATTGAGCTCCAATCTTTGCCGCACGTTCAACCATTTTAAGACATCCAGCATATGCTGGACTGATGTGTACTTGTTGCATAGTATTGTTGAACATTATTCGAAATGAGGTTTTAATATCGTATTGTATATTCTAATTGCTCTTAGCACTAATAAGTTTTTTCGAATTCTTCTAAACAAACCTAGTTTTTGCCAATTTTTTTACATGCATTCTCAACATGCACGTTAAACTGCAGGTCTTTGTCTATTATGACACCAATTTTGTTTTCAGTTCGTTTAGTTTGAGTTTATTCATTTTTAGCCAATTACTTATTTCATTAATGCCTTGGTCTAGTTTATTTTTACACTCTGGCGGCGTTTCACCTGTGCTATATATTAGAGTATCATCGGCGTATAACATAATTTTGCTGTTTTTTAACACATTACTTAAATCATTAATAGTTGCGTTCCAGATGCTTCACGATTTGCAGGTTTTTACAGGAAGTCGTTCCAGGTGACCACCTCCCATAAGGTTTATTAATGGAGAAAACAGCTGTTCCTGCAAATCGTGAATTTCGTGAATATCGTGAAGCATCTGGAACGCAACTAATGTATATTTAGTCTGTTCCAATAGCAGTCCGGTTTACAGGATTTAGTCAGAACTTACAGGAAGTCGTTCCTATTGACATAAAACCTGTAAGTGGGAACACATTTGAGAGAGTAACTGAGCAACTGTTCCTAGTCAGAAGTTACAGGATTTAGTCTGTTCCTTTGAACTTCGGACTAAAACCTGTGGAACTGTCAAGCTACAATTTTACTCTCTCAAGGTGAGAGTAAAAGGAGAACAGATCCAGAAGTGCACGGGAACACAAAAAGCGCTATATCCTGTAAAAACGTCAGTCGGTTTGTTTACATGTCATTTGTACAACAACTGATTTGCTGAAATATCACTAAATAATTATTAAAATCTATACATATTCAAATATTTCGTTGTTTACTTCCATTTTTTAACAAATATAAGGTTTTTTGCTTTCACCGCTTTCTGTTTTTGTTTGCACATGTAAATCAGCTGATCGTTTGACACTTTTCATGAACTTACAGGAAAAAAACTCCGGACTAAATCCTGTAACTTCTGACTAGGAACAGTTGCTCAGTTACTCTCTCAAATGTGTTCCCACTTACAGGTTTTATGTCAATAAGAACGACTTTCTGTAAGTTCTGACTAAATCCTGTAAACCGGACTGCTATTGGAACAGACTAATTTAGTCCGGAGTATTTTTTCCTGTAAGTTCATGAAAAGTGTCAAACGATCAGCTGATTTTCATGTGCAAACAAAAACTGAAAGCGGTGAAATCTAAGAATCTTTTATTTGTTAAAAAATGGAAGTAAACAACGAAATATTTGAATATGTATAGATTTTAATAATTATTTAGTGCTATTTCAGCTAAATTAGTGTTGTAGAAATGACATGTAAACAAACCGACCACTTATGCATCTGTTCTCCTTTTACTCTCATTTGAGAGCGTAAAATTGTAGTTTGACAGTTCCACACGTTTTAGTCCGAAGTTCAAAGGAACAGACTAATTATAAATAATAATGAACCAAGTATTGACCCTTGCGGGACTCCTATATCTACACGTATATAAGGTTCGTTCGCGTAGCTGTTAATTGTTCATGTTTAACCAAAACTTACAAGTTTTTGCATTCGCGTACGCAAAAAACTTGCAAAGTAGGGGAAATTGAGAGAGCAAACTGACATTTCATTTTGAGGGGAAGCTGCTGGTTTCTGCTGGAAAAATTTTTGCCAACAGCAATTTGCCAACAGGAAAACAGCTGATCAAAAACAGCTGGTTGGCATTTACGCAAATCACAAAATTGAATTTGATGGTTTGGAAGATAAAAATTACAAAATGCGACTAATTAAACTTGTAAGAAATAAGTAGTTATTTGTTTAATCAATAAACTGTGTCAGTATAACACTTTGCGATGACTTTTAGTACGTTTTAAATTTTACACTTTTGTATGTAAACAAAAATTATATCAGCTGTTCGTCTAACTTGCAAGTTTCTGCAAATTTTCTGTTCGCGTACTATTTTGGATATTTCTCTCTTGTGAGAGAGCAGATGACATTTCGCCGAAATTTGGCAGTTGGTTAGTTTCTGCTGGAGATTTTAAACGAACGCACCTATAGTCTGATACCAATCTTTTCACTGTAGTGCGTTGTGTCCTCTGCGCTAGGTATGACTCAAACCACTTTAATTCTTTATTTTGAACACCGTACATATACAATTTACTAATATATCCCGGTCAATAGTTTCAAAAGCTCGTTTAAAATCCAGAAATAAAGCCATAATTTTTTTCTTTTCACTGCATTTCCATTCACAGATAACATGGTTTACGGCAGTTTCGCATGAATATTTCTTTCTGAATCCCGATTGGTATTTCATAAACAGCTTATTATTTTCAAAATACTCTTCTAATTGTATTTTATTAATTTAAATTCCATGAGCAATATTTTCAAACCATATGTTAAGAAAAAAAGAAAATCGATGTACTTACATATATATTTAACTAGAAAAATACGATTTTAATATAAAAATACTTCAATGAGTAAATAAAAAATTTGGCAACTTTCACAATGACAGGAAACTAGGGAATGTTTTTAGAAAGGAATTTTTCCTCGCTTTTTCTATGCATATCGTGTAAAATAAAAAATAAAAATAAATATCATGTTAAAATTTACAATACTAGAGTCCTATCTTTAAGACAAAACTGTGTGCGTTTGAGCGAAAGTGCGAAAATGTGAAATATTCGACAGTTTTTTACAACAAGCATATGACAACGTTTCGCAC